CAAATGTAGACAACCCTGAACTTGCCTCTCATACCATCTTCTTCGCACAGCCTCGACTACAAACAGCCTTCCAAGTTCTTTTGCTCTTGTAATTCAATAAATTATTCATTCCAATGTTATCTAAAGTCAGTGGAATTAACCTCTCCCTCCAAACACAGGCTTCTGCCAGATTACACTTCCATCAAACCTGTGTTGTTCAGACTAGAAAGGGTTTCTACTCAGCATCAGTGCAGGGACACCAACAAGCACGCACCACCTCTGTGCCCCTCGTGCCTGCAGAATAGCATGGAGGGGGCTGCAGCATTTCTCCAGCACAAAATATCAGAAGCAGCAAGAGAGGAGACATGGCTAGAAGTGCTCTGTGCTTGTAGGGCAGCATCACAAGGCAAAGACTGCTTCCCCGTTAAGGGAACAAAAGGCCACTGACAAGGTAGTCAAAGGAAGGAGGAGTTGGAGCATGGATGCAGGAGTGCCTCATGATGGCAGAGGGCTCAGTCCTAAAGGAAAGCTGTATGAACAGGCTCCTGCTCATTGTGGCATGGGTGGCTGTTCGAGCTGTGCTGGCTGTTCTGTTGGGCAGGGGAGGGAAAATGCATATTTTCTACCTATGGGGATTTGTTACCATCTTTAATTTTCCCTGAGCCTAAGGAAGGGCGTGTATGCCCAAAAGCTTGCAGAAAAAGATTTTTTTTTTTGTGATTTCTTAGTTGGTCTAATAAAAGGTATAATCTCTGAACCAACAGTTCTAAAGTTTTGCATTTCTTTTTGTCGCAGACCAACATGGCTACCAAATACATCCCTGAAGGAGAGAGGAAGGCTTTCAGACTGGGTGCAAATCACAGGTTAAATCCCTGGCCGATGCTAGGGGTGTTCACAAGAGAAAGAAAGAAGCCATGTTGTTCTCCCTGCATCCTCAGCGACAGGACCTGGTTCTGAGAGGCATGGACCCAGATGAAGCTATCTGAAAGAAAGACCAAAGAGAGACACTGGGGATTTCAAGTGGCCCATTAAGGGTCCCTGCTGTGCTGGTGTTACCACCCTCTTGCCTGTATGGGCAGTCTGACTCATCCCTACTACAGCCCTCTCTGCTCCTTCCATCTCCCCCACTCACCAAAGAGCAAGTGGGGACCACCCCACATCTTGCCAAAATCCTCATAATATACAAAGCCCAGGAAACTGCAGAAGCAGAAGCTTTTTTTGAAAGGGGATCAAGAAGCTGGCAAGGTGCACAAGCAGGGTTCCCACGCATCCAGGTGCTCCTAAGGCCTCAAGCCATGGTAACACAGTGCCTCCCTTTGCTTAAACCATGACAACAAGCTCTCCCTCCCTTCCCTACCATCAAGTAGCAAGCTTAGGAACATTTGGTTTTTACATTAATGGTTCTGTGAGGATGAGAGTACAGGTGTTGGAAAGCCAAGAAACAAAGAGGTAGGCCCTCTACGCAGGTATGAAGGGACAGAAACAAGCAATTGTTCTCACTCCTCTTGGGAGTGGGATCTACCTCTGGTTTTATGTTATAGTATAGAAAAGCTTGATGGTGGGGCCACTGGAGGGGTTAGCAGAAGAAGAAATGGCTTTGGAGATCCAGAGCAGTGGAAGTGTGTGGCATAAGCATTAGTGTAGTACCCACAGCTCAGCATTTCTTTGCTTTTAGGGCATATTGCCCTTAGCCTACCTTACACCCTTATAGGTCTGCTTTTATTTCTAGATTATATAGGATCCTTTGTACCATCGCACCCCTTAACAGAGCAAATAATTAATTGTACAGTAGAGCCCATACCGATTCCCGTCTTTCCCTGTGAATCTGCCTCAAGTTTCTCTTAAGTACTTTTGACTGCATTCTGTACAGAAAAGGACAAGTGAAAGAACAGAAGGCAGAGCAATTATAGTTACTGGCTTAGCTGACCAAATACCCTCCTGTGACAGAGAGCAATTAAAAATAGAAAAGGGACCCCTCAATTGACACAAGAACTGTTATCACCCTCCTATCAAAAGGGGGAAACAGTGCTACCTGCCACACAGGAAGGACTGAATTCTAGCTGAAAAATACAGGGCGCATCCACACAAGACATTTGCTGCGGAGTTGCCCAGTTAGCTCCACAGTAAAATCTTGGCATCTACAAATGTGGCCCTATTAGGCTACAGGAAAGTAATAAACTCCGCATCAGTAAAATACAAGTACTATCCTGCTGCAGCGTCTTTTCACGCACAGCCAGAATTGTGGGGTAGAAAATTTTTCAGTGTTTTATTTTTCCGTGGGAAATTTTCAATTTCTAAAAATTAATTGTTTCATAAAAGTAATTAATAACAATGAATTGGATGCCAATACAATATTAGGCAAGCTTGGCGGTTTCAAAGTTGTAATTAATGTTTTTCAGGTGATTATCTCTAGGAAGTGTGTGAGAGAGTGCATATATGTTTTATTGATTTGTAAGCAGGAGGGTAAATACACTCACATAATATTCCAAACCAAAAAAATCAAGGTATGAATTCACCTAACTGGCTGTGCAGGTCAAATCAAAACCAAAGCACAGCACATCATGCACTGTTCTTTGGGTGTGCTAAAATTAGTGCGTCAAGTTTTCAGTGCCTCCTTTTTTTCTTAAATTTAAACAAACAATGTTAAGGAAGTACATGCTATAGTATATTGTCTTTACATTTTTACAAGTATTCCCATAAAAATAATTTCTTTCCACATAAAGCTTTGAATTCATTTGAATATAACATTTAAACCATATTAAGTGTGTTGTATTAAATTTTTTTCCTAATCAAATATTTCAGTTCAAATACTTGTGGCTATTGGGACATAAAATTAACATGGGGGTACTTTTTTAGTTCTGTTTACTAAATATAAGTCAAATAAACATGCTAAATTAGATCGTGCTCTATTTAGGGCATTGGCAAATTTTCCAATTCAAAATTTTCCAGAAAACCCACAACTCTATGCACAGCAACACATGTAGGGATGCTGACCTGGCTAGCTGGCGCACGAGGGTGGTTCAGTGCGGGGGCTACCTACTGGCTAGCCCTGCGCTGGAGCAGCCTCGTGCCCCAGCCAGCCCCTCTACACACGCTGAGCCAGGTCAGAGCAGCCCCAGGCTGGCAGGCTGACACCGCAGGTCCTCTGCCAGCTGGGGCTGCTCTACCCTGTTCAACGTGCTGCTGTCCCAGGCACATGTGTAAATGTGGTGCCAGGGAGCAATAAACTCTAGTACAAGATATGCAGGGGTTTATTGCTGCTCATTAATATGCATGTGTAGATGCACCCACAGAGCTCTTATTCAGCACAGAAAATAATCCTCTTCCTTGGACACATTATTTTTGGACAAAGGGAACCTTAAATCTCATGGACTATGAAACTTTTCAAAACATAAAACTGCTAAAGAATCTACCCAAGAAGGAAGAGGATCTAGTAGATTCTAATAACTCCAGCAACAACCACACCGTTAAGGGTTTTCATTTTGGGGCAGGGAATCAAATTCTAACACACTGCAACCCTCCCCACATGAAAAGGTGCAGCTGGATTCTGGCATACAAAGCTTGGTACAGAGAGCCTTCCTGAAAGGAGCAAATAACGTGCACATTTGAGGGAGTCACTGGTAGGATGCAAGGAAAATCTCCTAACATGGAAAACATTCTGTTTGACAGCTGAGAGCTGCCCTGAAAGTGGGCCGCAAGAGCTGACCAGTGGCCATTTCCTCTGTAGATCTGATGCCAACCAGCTGAGGGAATTCAGCTCCTCTCTCTCCCAGCATTAAATCTTCAGAGGAAGCGGCCCGAGGCAACTGTCATGGCCCAGTTTCACTGCCATTGCCAGCCAAGCTGATGCCAATGCAATGTTTTCTTGCATTCTACATGAATGAACTTCAGTGGCTTCTGCATTTCCAGGTGGGTGGAGAAGCAAGAAAGCCAGAGAAGGGCAATATCTCTCAGTGCTCCAGACACAAACAGAAAGACAAATATTGACTTTTTCCTGCACCCATCCTTGCCTTTGTAACAGTGTCAGGAAAATGTCTGACTTCTGTTCTCTTGATGGGCATGAACATAAGGATCTTACCTTAAATTCATGCAGGTGATGGGACAAATGTGGATTCAGTCATTAAAACTCTGGAGTAGAAGCCTTGCTGGAGCAATAATTAGATGATGATGGGGATCTGCACAGCCCCAAGGGTTGTATGTGGCTGTTTGCAATGGTAGGTACATGGATACAGGGGGAAAAAGGAAATGGCGGCTCCTGCTGTCAGGAGCTCCCACCAGGAGTTACTGCAGCCACCTAATGTGAGAGGATGAGAATGTAAGAACCTGGAAAACATGAGCATGTCTCCTGTAATTTGTCATGGTTTAGGAGTGGTCCCTATTACACCCATATTCAGCTTCCCCTGACACCACCCTGGAGCACTATCAGTCCAGCTGATAGTGACAGCTCTTAGTCGTGGGCCCAACAAACTGAAGGCTGGAAGCCAAACCACTGGGCTGGGAACACGTCCAGCAAACAGACACACAAGCTGTTAAGAGTTGCAATCATCTTTCAGCACCAGGAGCTACATCTACAGAAGCTGCTGAATCACACCCATTTGGAGGTGTCCCAAAGAGACAGCCAGCCTTGGCTTTCAAGCACCTGAAACTAGAGAATTCAGTTGAATCTCAGCTGAGCTGCAGAACAGTAAGAGCTAACACAGCTGCTACCAGCAGTTCAAAGGACACAGATCAAAGTAGGAATACACTGAAATAGGAAACATCAAAATGACATGACAGCAAAACCCCCTTTTCTGTCCTAGGACTTCTTTAAATTAACATTTCTACCATCACTAATCCCTCTACATATTTAATGTGACAATTAAAGGGTGCTTCACAAACATCAAGATGCAAGCTCTCAACCCCCTTGTAAAGTCCCAAAATGATGATCTTTATCTCACAGAAAGGTGAAGGACAGAGTTCAGGAAATCGTTCCCTTGAAGGCAGAGAGAAAAAGCCTACAAGGCAGATTCTATTTTACCTACTGAACTTGGAGAGCTGGTTCAACCTCTCAGAAAGAGGGCGAGTTGGCGCTTTCTGTTCCACACCACTGTACCTTCTGTTCTGGCTCTACAGCCACTTGATTTAATCTTAGCAGGGAAGCTGAGCTTTTCCCAGGTAATACATGAGAATGTACAGTATGACTAATGTGGGTGGGCTTTATCAAGTTAACTATTAGGAGCCAGTCTGCCAACTGTGACTGGCAGAGTTCATGGTGCTGAAAGGAGCAGCTCAGGTTCTCTCACAAGTTTGACATCTTTTTGCCCAAAGAAGCAAAATAGGTTCTCCTTGCCTGCTGGCACCTCCTCCATTTGGCCAGCAAAGTAAAACCCACCAAGATTTAACAAAAATGATTCTTCTACTCAAGGTCATCCTCTAGGTAAGCACAGTGGGCAGGAACAGCAGCTCTAGCACATTTTCCTACCTACAGGGTATGGTTTAAAGTACAAGGTAAAGAAAATGCAAGACACCTGGGATTCTGAGCCACTTCCCCTTTTCCAAGCCCTGAGATCCCCAGTTAAACTGTTACAAATAAGAAAACCATTTAGATGTTTACATATCTAATTGCTGGCTGGAGCTCTGATGGCACACAGCTGGCTCTGTGGTTTGCATATATTTTTTCCAGAATGCACTTGTGCAACTGTTGCCTTTATTAATTTTCACATGAACAGTTAAATATTAAACAAACTGGTACATAAGTGGGTAGGCTACCAACTTCAGAGTGCAGCTGAGTGGGGACAGCAAAAGCACAGTGAACAGCCTTCACCTGTGGGAGTCATGTACTTGGTCTGTGGTACAGATACCACATTGAAAATAAGATCATAGGACCTTAAGAAAGGGGAGCTAGAAGGGAGCTCTTGAGGTCATCTAGTTCAGCCCCCTGCTAAGTTAGGGTCACCCCAGGCTAAGCCATCCTAGCAAAGTGCCTAACCTACTCTTGAAAATGTCCAGGGATGGAGATTCTATAGATTCCCTAGGTAGCCTGTTCCAGTGCTTGACCACCCTCAGTCAGGAAGCTCTTCCTAACCCGCAACGTAAAATTTCCTCTGCTGCAGTTTAAAACCATTTCTCCTAGTTGTGTCCTCGACAGCCATAGAGAAAGTCTATCTCCATCCAACTCTATAATCAACATTCAGGTATTTGGAAACTAAACAGTCCTAGGTCTTTCAGCCTTTTCTCTTAAGATTAGGAAGTCTAGGAGACATCCTTTCAGACACACAACTCTTCTGTAAGCTCCATGGGGCAGGAATGGTGTCCTCCGTGTTCTTTACTGTACCCATCGGAAACAGAGAAGTTGTGGAATCTCTATCCTTGGATGTTTTTAAGAGCAAGTTAAACCAGGAGTATCAAACTCATCTGTGCTACCAAGCTAAATCCAGAGCACAGGGCTCCTTGCAGGTCAGATCTGACTAGCAGGCTATGTGTTTGACACCTCTGGGTTAGACAACACTTGTCTAGTATGGTTTAGTCAGGGATGATCCTGTCTTGAGTAGGGGGTTGGACTAAATGACCTTCTAAGGTCCCTCCCCCCTTTTCTCTGATTCTGTGGTTTATGTTTTTACCTACACATGCCTGTTTCAAAATAATACAATGTTAGGTCAAGAATTTCAATCTCCCAAACTCAGGAACTTCAGTTACTGATTTCTTAAATGTCTTAACACCAACAGCAGCCTCCCAATAGGAGTAAAGATGTCAAGGGTCTACCCCAAAAAGCATGTTCAGTTTGCAGAAAAGGCAATTAAGAAGGGATCATAGGAAAGTAGGACTGGAAGGGACTTCACAAGGTCTAGTCCCCTGCTCAAGGTAGGATCATCCCAGACTAAGCCATCCCAGCCAAGTGTCTATCTAACCTGGTTTTGAAAACTTCCATAGATGAAGATGCCACAGCTTCTCTAGGTAGCTTGTGTCTATGCTTGCCCACCATCATAATCAGAAATTTTCTCAGGAAACAATCACCAATGTAGATCTCCCCTGATGAAGCTTGAGGCCATTACTTCTAGCCCTGTTCCCTACAGTCATGGAGCAAATCCCATCTCCATCCTGTCATCAACCTTGAGATATCTGAAGGCTACTATCAGAATTCCTCCCTAGTCTTCTCTTCTCCAGACTCAACTAACACTAGTTCCTTCAGCCTTTCCTCATAGCCTTGCCCCCCAGATCCCTAAACATTTTTGTTGTTTTACGCAGGATTCTTTCCAAACTGACCACATCCTTCTTGAAAACTGGACACAATACTCCAAGTGTGGTCTCACCAGTGCTGAACAGAGTGGAAGAATCACTTCCCTTGATTTGCAAGTGACACTCCTGCTACTACAACCCAGTCTACTGCTGACTTTTTTTTTTCTTTTTTGCGTGCAACAAGAGGACACTGTTGGCTCATGTTCAACTTATGATCTACTGCAGTGACTTTCAACCTTTTTTCCATTTACAGACCCCTAAAAAATGTTGAATGGAGGTGCAGACCCCTTTGGAAACGGCATGCCTTTTCTGGGATCTGAAACTTTATTTTCATAGTCATCTTTCACAGACTCCTTAGACAGTCTGCAGACCTCCAGGGGGACACAGATCACAGGCTGAAAGCTACTTGTCTACTGTAATCCCACTTGCAGTACTGCATCCTAGCCAATCATTCTCCAGTATTTGTGCATGCAAATGAGATATGATAGCAGTTTTAAAATATATGAAAGGCTGCTGTAAAGATAACAGAGAATACCTTTTCTCCATTAGTGCAGAGAACAGGACATGGATCAATGAGACAGTAGAATAGACTACCTAGGGAAGTTGTGGAATTTCCATCATTGGAGGTTTTGAAAAAGGTCAGGTATGATCCAGAACAGGGGTGCTCAACTCCTGGCCCACAGAGCCATGTCATTCAGTCCATGGGGCTCCCCAAGGGTCTGGAAATTTAGTGGCAGGGGAGCGGTGGCAGAATTAACTGCTGCTCCCATACTGCTAATTTTATGGACCCCTGGGGAGTCCTGCAGGTCAGATAATGTGGTGCTGAAAGCTAGATCATACTAGTGCACAGCTGGACCCACATTTGTAGAGTCAGCCTAGTGCACAGCTGGGCCTGGACATGTGGGGACAGACACATAGATCAACCCCATGCAAGATCCAGCCTGCTGACTGAACCCACACCACTCATTTGGCCCACAGGGCTGGAAGGTTGAACATCACTGATCTAGAAGTAGCCATGTCTGGACTTTATTGTACAGCAAGAGTTGGAAGCCCAGGAACATGCCCCTCCCCCCCCCCCACCACACACACGGATTGCTGGGAGATGATGGGAAGAGCTCTGCTTCACAGAGCAGGTAAGTCTTGGACACAAACATGCTCGGCAGCAGCAGAACAAAGCAGAGCTCCACACCCAGCTTAGTTCTGAAAGAAAATTAAAGAAGCTGGGATATTTATGGAGGGGATACAGAAAAGGAGTTCTGGCTGTACAGGTACACAGTGTGATGTTGGGGGTTGTTTCTTCCCATGCTCCTGGGCTTTGCTGGTTGCCACATGGGGCTGGAAAGGATTTTTTTCCCCTCCTGTGCTACAGGGTCATGGGTTCCTCTCCACCACCACCACTACTTCCTCAGAAGCACTGGGTGTTGGTTTTAGTCAAGCCTGGGGCATTTTGATTGGGGTCTGCACATGTTCCTTCTGGGACTCAAACCCAGAGATTCCCAGCAAGAGAGACTTTCTTGCTTCTTAGCTGAGGGTCAGATCAATGGCCAGACTTGGAATCAGGAAGGAATTTTACCCCATGATCAGACTGGTACAGACTCTTAGAGCATTGTCTTCCTCTATAGCAGAAGGCATATGGCCTTCTTTCTTGAATCTCTTGAGGGCATTTTAACAACCATTGTAGTGGCAGGAAAGAGAGGCCTCATCCCCCTACTTTTCCAGTGACAGGTTAGGGGGCTTTTAGTATCTTTGGGCAAGATGCATCAGGGCTGACTGTGTAGTTTTACAAAAAGTGTAGACAAGAACTTGTATGAGATGGGTTAAATAGGGATGATCCTGCCTCATGCAGGAGGTTGGCCTAGATGACCTCTAGTGGTTCCTTCTAACCACACCTGTCTATGATAGTTAATCCATTTCTGTAGCCAACAGCACAGAAGACAGTGAAGGCACAGGCATCATTCCGTCAGCTCCTGACCAGCTGGGTCAACGTAGTATAGCCCTCAGTGCACCTTCAGATTCACAGAGTACACCTGCATTAGGAAGGCAGAGAGCTCAGTGTCTCTGCCAAAGAGACAAGCTCCACCTATTCACCCCATACACACATACATTAACCCCAAAATGAGGCAATGAGGACATCCCAGCGATGCCCCAAGCTGTTGCTTTTGAGCACCCTAGAAACCTAGGCCTTGTGCAGTGCCAGGGGCACCCACTTTGCCTCATATGCAAGGTTGATGCATATGGAGTAGGAACAAGTGGGTGAGGGCTTTTTCCTCAGAAGCAGGATGGAGCAGTCTGCTGGCACAGTGTAGATGTACCCACAGTGAGACAACTACTGTATCCCTCCTAGCAGAAACCATGGGGGCAAAACACCATGCATAGTCCTGTGATGGGACTTGGCTGCTTTGTGAAGGTGACAGACAGCAACAAAGAACTAGACTCAGTGGGTACCTACACACATGCCCAACGCCTGCTCCAACACATGCTATTTAGCATGAGTCAGAGCAGACTTGATTAATCAAGTCTGGAGCGTGCCAATTAGCACACTCCAGCAGCCTCAGCATCTCATGTATTCAGCATCCCCACACTTCAAAATGGCAGCAGGGCACTTTAACTAAAACTCATTTGAGGAGCTTTAGTTAAAAAGGGCCCTCGCTGCCATTTTGAAGCACAGGACACTGAATACACACAATGCTGCAGGAGCTTTAATTAGAACAGCTCCTGAAAGCTACTTTAATTAAAGTGCTGCCTACCCCAGAGCACATTTAAAGATGACCAGTGATCCAGGAGTCCAGTCCAATCCAGTCTAACGTTCCTTAAATGCTTATTTTGCTTAAGCATCAAAAGGGAAATATAAAAGGGCTGCTATTCTCAGTTGTGCCTTTCCAGTCAAGGTCCTCTACAGCAAAGGGCTTGACTTCTGCCTCCAACACAGC